TTATTTTCGAGTATTCATATGTATATATAATCATAAATATTAAAATGATGGCCATTTTTAGAATTTTTCATTGTCTTCGTTTTTCAAAAAAACTACAAACAGAAACACAACTAAACGGCTAGGAAAATTATTTGTTCTATGTCACATATCGGGGTCATATACTATCCCAGAAAAATATATAGCAAAGAAGAAAATCTATACCTTTTTCCCAGATCTCATGTCGATTTTATCTCACACTGCAGGGAATAAGTTATTCAAAGCTTGCGAATTTACCACCTATAGTCAGCCTCTGTGAGTATTCAACACCCTTACTCTGTTTTTCTTGCTAATTAAGTTCAACAAACTATTAAATTCACAAGATTTGATAGTCTTTAATGTATTAATTTTACTTGAATTGAGTTTTTATGCAGACTCAAGCTTCGTGGGATGCAGATTTTTATGTGAAGACAAAGTCATGTTTTGTTGCTGCTGTTGCTTCGTAGGATGCAGATTTTTATGTCAAAGTTGATGATGATGTTCATGTAAATATAGGTAAGAAATTTGTTTTTAGTACTTGATATAAAAATAAAATGCATACATGAAGGTCTAAAATCCAATATATAGATGCAAGACACTCAATGTGTTACAACTTTTAAATTCCAAATCGGGGTAAAAACTTCAGATGCCCATGTTCATATGAACCTCTAAATTCAAATCTACGACTGATATGATTGATTCAACAAGTTTTACTTGAAAATGAAATTATATATGTTTGTAAGTCTACAAATTATTTATTTATTTTGTTGCATTGGGTAAGATGTTGTAAATTTTGCAGCAACACTAGGAGAAACTTTGGCAAGATACAGGAAAAAGCCACGGGTGCATATCGGATGTATGAAATCTAGTCCTGTCCTTGCTCAGAAGTAAGTGGAATTTTGTCTTAAAATTCTTGTTGTTAACTGAATGTTAAGAAAGTGTTAAGCTTTTAGATGTCTTATTTGTGCACTCTGTGGAACAGGGGAGTGAGGTACCATGAACTTGAATATTGGAAATTCGGGGAGGTAGGCAATAGGTATTTTAGACATGCTACAGGACAACTATATGCCATTTCAAAAGATTTGGCTACTTACATCTCGATAAACCAGTTAAGTTACACTCTCACATGGTGTTAAAAATGAGAGATCAAAAAAAGAAATGTGTGTATATCACTGAAGCCATTTTTGCACAGAGAGAGAAAGTGTGGGTTTTTGATGATGATACAAATTATGGGTTTTTGATCTTGCAAATGTGAGAGAAAGTGTGGGTTTTTGATCTCTGCAAATGTGTGTGTATATGTATGAGGAATTTGGGGAACCTAGAGGTGAGAAAGATGAAGAAAAATGAAAACCATGTCTCTGGAAATGTGTTTGTCAATTGTGATGCATGGGTCCTAGAGAGAGAATCTCTCCTTATCCTTTTTTTTAAAAAAAAATTAATTACACTTTTGACGAGGCACATCTGTCTAACTAGCTATATATTATATAAGTAAAAGTGAGTTTTTGTGAAGAGTTCTGTGAATTTAATCTTAACCTTATTTTTTTAATCCTAACATTATTTACACTGTACCTTCAGGCACGGGCATACGCTAGTATATATATATGATAGCATATAATGAGTGTATTATAGGACACTTTAGAGAATCATGTCAAAAGGAACTCGGCAAAATGACCTCGTAACTTTGGCAAAATGATCTTGTAATTTCGGGAAAAGGAATGCTCTTCTATCTTTTAATTAGGAAATTGACACATACCAGGATAGTGACAGTTTATTAAAATTACAAGACTCTACTAAGTGGTAACACGATGTACAAAGTCTGACATTTGTCCGATGCTAGAAGGTCGGAAGGAGAATTGTTATAAACTTTGAATGGAAGCCCTCGGTGAACAGCAGCAATAACTCTAACTGTTCTAAGGTAGTGAAATTCCTTGTCACATAAGTAGCGACCTGCATGAATGGTGTAACGATTGTCCCGCTGTCTCCGACATAGACCCGGTGAAATTGAATTCTCTATGAAGATGCGGAGTACAAACAGCTAAACAGTATTATGCAATACTTCAAAATATGAAAATTCATTGATAATAATTTTTTAAATCTATATATCCAACTTCTTTTTTTATTATTATTGAAACACTTGTATCAATATATAAAACTTTCTTTCATTAGTGACTTGAGAAGCTTAAATTAATTGAAACTAGATGATTGATTTTAATATTTAAGATGGATCCGTGGTGGGTTTACAAAAGCCTGGCAGAATGATCAAGTTCGCAAAAGTACCAAATATCTAGTATTTTTAAAGATAAACATGCTTTTATAAATCTTTAAAATTTACCACCTCCAAAAAAGCATTTTCTTCTTCTTGGCTACTATCTCTCTCCCTCTCCTCTCTCCATGCCACCGCCACCACCAGGGTCAGTCCTGAGGTGAGGCCACTAAGGCGGTCGTCTTGGGCTCTCAATTTTGAACAAAATTTAGGACTCCTAATTAGGAGAGTATATCATGTCGTGTTATTTCATAATTACTTTAAAATTAGTTCAATTCATTTATTTTCATGTTGTTGTATGGTGTTATTTTGATTCGTGTCCGATTGATATTTAATGTGAAAACTTTTACTTTTAGTTAAAAATAACTTAGCAAGTGTATGAAGAGATTAAAATTTTTCCCATAAGTTGAATTTTATAAAATTTATTTTTTCTAAATGAAATTATTCATACAATGTTTGATTTTAATTCAATTGCGCTTTTCTAATTAAAAAAATTATACCTTATTACTATATATTTTTTATTAGATTGACTCTAAAATAGGTAACAAAAAAAATATATCTTAAATGAAAAAAAGATATTAGCCTTAATTATTATTTTACATACTTTTTTATTCAGTTAAATGGAGTTAAATAAAAGATTAAAAAAATGTCATCGCATCCCTTAGTGAACATTAAAATATATAACTAATAATTCATATTATTGAATCGTTCATGTTGAAAAATAGTCAACCCTAACTTACTAATTTTATATATTGCTTGAGTTGTGTCGAAAATTCTCATCCTTAACCCCAATTAATTTTAGTTCTTATAGCATTGGTAAACTAAAAAATAAAAATTCGATTCAACTAATTGAAGTTTAACTATTATATATATATATATATATATATATTTGTTATCTAAATTTTGTTAAATTGTAATGCAATAAAAATAAATTTTTATCCTTTTTGTTTTGTCCAAACAAATTTTTTTTTAAGATAATGATACATGAAGGGCCCAATTTAAAAAATTGCCTCAGGCCCCTAATAACTCAGGGCCGGCCCTGGCCGCCACAACGCCCCTCTCCTCCCTCCACCACCCCACGCTCACCCCACTTCCACTTCCATATGAAGCACGGATACTCCGAAATAGGCCACGTACGCGTATCGGATATGTATCGGATACGGATACGCGCCCGATATGCGAGGATACGTATCAGATACGGGAAATGAAGTATCCGATTTTTTTTTTTAATTTTTGAATTTCGGATACTTCTCAGATACGCGAGGATACTGTCAGGATACGATCAGGATACAGTACGGATACGGCGGGGGCAAAAAAATAATTTAAAAAACTTAAAATGGGGTGAAATTGTAAAATATGAAAAAAAAAGATGAAATAAAACACACAAAAAAAGAAAAATAATAAACCAAACACTCTCTTACCTAGGTATTCGACGCACCCGTGAAGGAGGAGGAGAAACAGCTCGCCGATCGTCTCGAACAACAGCTCGCCGATCGTCGATCAGGTTCGCGATCAGGTTCGTCCCTCTCTCTCTCCCTTTCGCTCCCTCTGTCTGCCTCTCACGAACTCTCTCCCTCTCCCTCTCCCTCTCCCTCTCCCTCTCGATCTCGCTCAATCTGTCTGTCTGGTTCGAGATGTCAATCTCATCTCCCCCCTCTTCGTCGATCTGTCTCTCCCCCTCCCTTACCTATGTCTGTTTGCATATTTATTTGTATTATTTTAATTTTTTATTTTTTATATGTAGACTTTTCAAATCACGTAAAATATTAAAAAAAAAAAAACTTATATATTCGGTTTATTGAATCTGATAAAACAAACAAATAAATAAACTTATTAATAAATAAATAAATAAACTAAGGTAAAAAAAACTTATTAATAAATAAATAAATAAATAAACTTATTAAAAATAAAATTTGTCAACTTATAAAATTATAAACTTTGTACACTTATTAATAAATCAAATAAGGTAAAAAAAAATTATTAATAAATAAATAAAATAAATAAACTTATTAGGGGTGACCATTGGTTCAATGGTTAAGAGTTGACCTAATAACCTTGAGGTTATGGGTTCAAGTCTTGGAACCACCACTTTGTGTATTATGCCAAAGATTAGGTGTGGACTCAATCTTTACCCTCCCAAACACACATTAATGTGTACTAAGTGGGAGTTGTAAAATAAAATAAAAAATAAATAAACTTATTGATAAATAAATGAACTCTGTAAATTTTTTTCCCTTAATTTGGGATTGAATTGCATTATGGATAATTTGGGATTGAATTGCATTATGGATGTTATGGGTGATACTACATTGTTAAAATTGTTAAAATTTAATTGAATTGATGAATTTTTTGTTATGGGTGATGCATTATGGTTGTTATGGGTGATACTACATTATATTGTCTTTTGTTTCAAGTTTTATTTTTATGTATGCTACATTACTAAAAATTGTTGAAGTTTTATTTTATGTATGTTACATTACTAAAAATTATTGAAATTTTATTTTTGTGTATGTTACATTACTAAAAATTGTGAAAAAAATATTTTTTATGAACGTATCCCCGCCGTATCCGTATCTTACTTTTTCGAATTTTGACGTATCGCCGTATCCGTATCATATCGTACCCGTACCCCGTATCTGTGCTTCCTAGCCACTTCCCCACCAACCAAGTTTACCACAACATAGAAAATACACATCCTTGAGCATTCAAGGGAAAGGACAACTTAAAAGAACCCAAATTGAAAATTTTATCATTATAGCATCTCTCTGTACCATAGTTTGCTAGCAATTGAACATAAAATAGACAAAACAACATATTTCAAAATTAAAATGAAGAAGAATTAACAAAGATACAAATCATATGACAAACAAAACAACACAAACCAACTAAAAGTTTTCCAATAAAATCCTCACTCAGCAGCTTCCTCAACCGATGCTTCAATCCGAAGAAGAGCAAAGCCCAAAGCAACTCCAACAAGAACAAGCCCATTCATGATTGCTGCAATCCTGAAAATCTCCTCCGCGGCATTGCAGGTGGAGGAGAGGGCTCCTCCTCCGCTGCCTCGGGATGAGAATTTCAAAGTGCTTACAATATTTGCAAAGGAATGTTCAGTGCAAAGAGGCAGGCCTAATGAGGCCACATTGTTGTGAGCTTTGAGCCCACCAAAAGAGTTCAGCCCACCAATGTAGTTCACTCTGGTTTTTGTTTTCCTACCCTGCGAAGAACGGGCTGGGCCCACGGCGGCGGTGATTGTTGCCGGAGAAAGGGTAGCTGATGCTGTTGCCATTGTAATCTAACCCACAACCTGCTATATACAGTGAAGAATCAAATTTTCCGTTTGCATAGAAATCAAAATCTGACACAACCCTCTCACAGTTCTATAAGCAATTTCTGTGTTCCTGTGGAGAATTTAGCAATAAAACGAAGAAAAATTTAAAAGGTACAGAATTCGATCATAGAATTGGATACAATCCTCTGACATGAACCTATGCATTGTGTAGATGGATACAATCCTCTGACATGAACCTATGCATTGTGTAGATTTTGTTCCGTTCAATAATCGAATTATGTGCACATAAAAGAAATGTAAAAAAAAAAATCATTAAAAAGAGCACTGTTTGCAAGTGATGCATAAGCTTCAATACACAACATGCTAAGTAGAATTGCAAGAGCTGAGAGAGTACTTAAAGAAAATGAGAAATGTTTCCAGGGCGAAGAGGTTCACCTGATATGAGATGTTGTGTTTGAAGGGTGCCTCTGATAGTGTTGAAATTCAGAAAACATGAGAGAGAAAAAGAGAGAGAATGCATAAAAGAGAGAAGTTGGATAAGGTGGGAATATGGGATGGTTGGTTGACAAGTAGATTAGATGAGCTTGTTTTCCTTTAGAGGGTAACTATTCAACTTCTAATAATGGCCAAGAAAAAGTGAGACTACATGTTTTGGAGAGTTTTTTTTCTTTTTCTTTTAAATAAAAATTTAGCAATACATAATTAATTGCAGAAAATAAAAGAATCAAGGTTGGGTAGGACCCAAACCGAGTGCCTTTGAATGGCATGACCTGTTTTAGTGAGAATAGACATAATCATTGGTTGAGTACACAACTATGTAATGTTAAATAAGAAGTGACCATTGGGTATATAAATACATCTATTGCATTCCACCCAAAATACATATGAATTCCAATAGCGTATTTTCTATCTTCTCTCTTTCCTCTCTGAGGAAGGAAATTCAAATTCATAGGAAAAACACATAAAACATCCTCAAAAGTCCTAACAGGTTATGGTACACTCATGATCCAATTCACTTCCGCGAAAAGTAAAGAGGTGATGTAATGGAAAAAAGATAAAAAGATAAATTATTTTGAGTATGCCAAACTTGGCCTAAGACTCACCATTAAAGAGATTGTTTCACTCAAATTACTCCATCTGTATTTTCAATATTTGGTTTTGTAATTATTTCATTAAACTTGAAAAAAACAAAAAATAAAATAAAAAACTTGTCTTGAATTTTGGTGCCACATTCTGGCGGACTGAACTGGACCATCCACTTTATCATGGTAGAAACTTTACTCAATAATTTGCACAGTTCGAAGAAAATTGACAAAAAATGCATCCCTCTAAAATCACTGAACAAGATCATTTAAGGAGTAGCCCACCCCCATCAAATGCACCAGAATCAACATTACTGCCCTTAAGACATATAAAACTGCACAAATAACATCACATAACCAAATAATCCATATGTAATGAATCCAATCCAATTGCTCCCCCAAGTCACACTTCAACAATATTATAGTCTACATGTAATGAATCCAATCCAATTGCTCACCCAAGTCGCACCACAACAATATTTAAAATCCATAATAACACAAACATAAAGAAGACATAATTAAGTCCTTTATAAAAATAAAAAAATTGAAAAAAAAAATGCTGTATTGAGTCATCGACGACGTTCATGTATTTGCTAGCGATGATGGACTTATTTTGGACTCCCTTGAAAATGTCTCTTATCAACCTGATCTTGGTGATCTGAGCTCAGTATGCTATCTTTTTTTGGCAACCATGATCCTGCCCGGAGAATGCACGTCTTTATGAAAATGCCCCGCCGGCCCTTTCCCCGAATGAATTCACAGATGCACCTGTCCTCCCACTTCAGATTGTTCCACTTGCAGAAAGCTTTCCACCCTACGGTAAGCCATGTCCGGCCATCATTCCACTGTACAACCCTTGTTGACCACTTCCTCCCTTCTTCATCAAGGAGGATCAGATTTGAAGGAAGCTTAAGATTATGATCTCTGATCACATCCATAGGAACATACTGCAATAAGTAGTAACGGAAAATAAATAAATTATTTGATCAAAACTCATGGCATTGGCAAAAGTCCAAGGAAAATCTACCTTGTAAAACTTAGAGGAGGTGATAAATATGGGCATAAATCACCAAGAAATGTGGAGAAAAAAATATATAAAGGGAAACAAACAACGAAACAATCATCATTACTCATGAGAAAATCATTAAGGCCAGTTAGACAACAATGTCAGCTCCACTAATGCACTATCAGCAAATAACTGAATTAACCCAAACACATTTGAACATTTCCACACTTGGGTGGAGTTCAGCGTTTTTGCTTTTTGGCTTATTTAGTCAAAAAACAGCTTTTTAATCCCAAGCCAAGCAGGGACTCCTATTTTGTTGAGATCATGAAATATGGCAGCATATTGGAAATCTTTAATTATTTGAGTATTCTCAAGCCCTGCAATAGAGTGATTTATGATTTTTATATTCATTATGATCATTAAATAATTATTAAAATAATTAGTACAACCACATGAAGGAGCAACCAATAATTGCATTGAACATGTAAATTAACTGGTAGAAATTAACTACTGTAGATAGCATGGATAACAGAGGCTATCTCAACAGTATCCTAAACAACATATGCAAGCGGAACACAAAGAGATGGAGGTTAGTTTACACTATGAGAAAGCAATCTGATTTCACGGTGATGTATAAAGTGGTGGATATCCTTGGAAAGGCAAAGAGCTAATACCCATATACATCCAACAAAAATCAACCAAAACAATCACCAGATTTATTAGCATCTATCAATAAACCTATTTAACATATTTCGGTTTTGACTCCATCTATGTACAGTGCATGTGCTGGATATTTTGAAGGGCAATCTTGACTCCAAAAGGCAAGCATGGAGTTAATTAACTTAATGTAATAACAGAACATGCCAGAGAAACTTATGAAAGGATAATAAAATGCTCACAGATTGGTGCATTTCAGATAGGTAACACAAGTCTTACCAATTCAGTCCGTCTCGTTGATCGAAGTTTTGCCACAAAACAAGGATTTTTAGGCCAGGAAACCATTCCATATTTAAAAACATCCTCATCATCCTCAACCGCAATTGTATCAGCTCTTTTGTTTCCACCTTCACCTTTGATAGTATCTTTCCCTTTATTGCCATCTAAATTAAGTAAACCTCTAGATTAGATAGTGACGAGAGGAAAGGAAATCAATCTCGTACAAACACAGAAATGGCAAAGAAAAGGAAATGAAAACTTACAGCTAGTGCCTTGGCTAATCTTTTCCAAGCCCTTAGCAGATTTTTCACTTTTTTCCTTTTCTGTTTTCTTTCTCAAAATTTTTGCTTCAAGTTCGTCCTCCTCATCATCATCATCATCTGTCTCCTCCTCCTCCTCCTCCTCAACCTCCATTGTATAAGCTCTTTTGTTTCCACCTTTATCTTTGATAGTAGCTTTTCCTTTATTGCCATCTAAATTAAGTAAACCTCTAGATTAGATAGTAACAAGAGGAAAGAAAATCAATCTCATACAAACACGTAGAAATGGAAAAGAAAAGGAAATGAAAACTTACAGCTAGTGCCTTGATTAATCTTTTTCAAGCCCTTAGTAGATTTTTCCCCTATTCCGTTTTCTGTTTTCTTTCTCAAAGCTTTTGCTTCAAGTTCGTCCTCCTCCTCCTCCTCATCATCATCTGTCTCCTCCTCCTCTTCCTCAACCTCCATTGTATAAGCTCTTTTGTTTCCACCTTTATCTTTGATAGTAGCTTTTCGTTTATTGCCATCTAAATTAAGTAAGCCTGTAGATTAGATAGTGACGAGAGGAGAGGAAATCAACCTCATACAAACACATAGAAGTGACAAAGAAAAGGAAATGAAAACTTACAGCAAGTACCTTGATTAATCTTTTTCAAACCCTTAGTAGATTTTTCACTTTTTCCCTTTTCTGCTTTCTTTCTCAAAGTAGTTGCTTCAAGTTCGTCCTCCTCCTCATCATCATCATCTGTCTCCTCCTCCTCATCCTCAACCTCCATTCTACAAGCTCTTTTGTTTCCACCTTTATCTTTGATAGTAGCTTTTCCTTTATTGCCATCTAAATTAAGCCAGCCCATAGATTAGATAGTGACAAGAGGAGAGGAAATCAATCTCATACAAACACAGATATGGCAAAGAAAAGGAAATGAAAACTTACAGTTAGTGCCTTGATTAATTTTTTTCAAGCCCTTAGTAGATTTTTCACTTTTTCCCTTTTCTGTTTTCTTTCTCAAAGTTTTTGCTTCAAGTTCGTCCCCCTCCTCATCCTCAACCTCCGTTCTATAAGCTCTTTTGTTTCCACCTTTATCTTTGATAGTAACTCTTCCTTTATTGCCATCTAAATTAATTAAACCTGTAGATTAGATAGTGACAAGAGGAAAGGAAATCAATAACACGGAAATGGCAAAGAAAAGGAAATAAAAACTTACAGTTAGTGCCTTGTTTAATCTTTTTCAAGCCCTTGGTAGATTTTTCACTTTTTCCCTTTTCTGTTTTCTTTCTCAAAGTATTTGCTTCAAGTTCATCCTCCTCCTCTTCCTCTTCCTCTTCCTCTTCCTCCTTCACCTTCTCCTCCTCCTCCTCCTCCTCCTCTTTCTCCTCCTTTACTTTGAAGCCCGAAGATCCAATCATTTTTATTTCGCATTCAGTTCTTCCAAATAGTTTGAAATCAAAAACATAATTACCATCAAAATCAAAAACTAAAAAATTTCCAACTTCCACAGAGTTATCTTCAACAAATTTCACCCAACCATCCTTAAAACACAACTGATTTCCAACTTTGGTTACCACCACTGGCCAAAGTTTTCCGTGACAATTCCTCAGGAAAGCTTTGTCTGGTATTGCTCCTTTCACATGTTTAACAAAAGCCGAGGGAATGGGCTACAAAAAAGGTATATAATGTCATTAAAAAAAAAAAAAAAAAAACAGTCAATGAAAAAGAAAATCGTTTGAGGAAAGCACAATAAATAATAATAATAATCTGTACCATGGCCGTGTGTTTCTTTACTTTTTTAATGAGTTCAAATCCCAAGAAAAAAACGTTCTGAGTTCCATCATATGCATGCATATTCACTATTTCTTCCGAATCCTGTATCCAATGATCCTACCCTATATAACAAAGACTCAAGTACGAGTATTGAGTGTGTTGTGTGTGTGTGTCTAGTGCAGACCTCCTTAGACATCACTACACCCTAAACATAGGGATCTAAATATAGGGTGAGAGGGTGAATTGTGATCTGAAGTTGGGCCGAGGTAACGGCCGAGCAAGTTGAAGGCCCAACGGTGCATGGGTCCGAAATGATCGACTTTTTGCCCAAAAATGGGCTGCCAGAACTTGGGCCGGGCAGAGTTCGGGCTGAGTGTCACCCCGGACCGGACAGAAACTGCTCGGCAAGGCAGTGCTCGGTCGGACCGGGATGCTCGGTCCGAGGATGGCCAAAGCCGGATTGGTTGAGTGACCGGCGCCCAGGAAGGCATGGGCAACCGAGGAAGTTGAGAGGCCGGTGCCCGGAAAGGCGTGGTCGGCCGAGGAGACTGTATGGTCGGCAGGAAGGCCGATCAAAGTAAGTATCCGAGCTAGGCTCTGCCGGGATGCCGCTTAGCCCGGTCCTCCGTGTGTTTATCCGGTTAGGCGCTTGAGGTATGAAGCATGGTATGACCGAGGTAGGGCAGCTCGGTTGCCGAGCTCCAGCTGTGCTGACAGGCAGTTGAGAGCAGGTGATGAATGGCATGGTTTATGCTGACAGATGGGATAACAGAGCCACGTGTCAGGAGATGACTGGGAGTGGATATGGGGCTCAGAAGGTATAAAAGCGTGCCTGCGCCCCCCATACGCAACACATGAACACATCTGTAAGGATTTCTTACACTCAAACACTCTCTCCCTTCTCTCTATCCATCCTAAGGTGTGTGCTAACTTGACCGTCGGAGGGTTTTTCCGGCCACACACCGCCGGGTAGCTCACCATTACTTGCTCGCAGGTGATCGGACATCGACGGAGCTCGGAAGAAAGGAATACGGGCACGCTGAAATATTTGCTCCCCGTACATAGGGATAAGGGATGTGCATCCAAAAGTTAGGTACGGGTGAGTGGACACATCTTAGACATTTAAATATATTGTAGAATATATATAATGATATAAGATATTTTTATCAGTGTTTTTTAAGGCAAAAAGCGAATTGAGACAACAAGGCCTCCTGATGCCCAAGCACAAGGCAACCGGGTGAGGCGAGAGCTTCATCAAAGCAAGGCGAACACAAAAAAAAAAAATTATAAAAATAAATAGTATGAACAAAGACTTCACTATTTTTAAGATCCATGATGCATACAACATTCCAAGTACTAAACATTCATTAAAATATTATAAAAAAAATCCAACAAATCTAACAAATCTAACATTCCAAATACTAAATATTCATAAAAAAAATATAAAACATCCAACAAATCCGACATCCCAAATACCTAGATCCAACAAAAATACAATTCATTTGTGAAAGACAAACCAATTGAAGAAGAAGAAGAAGGAGAAAGAAAGGGGAAAAAAATAAGGGTTGAAGAAGAAGAAAGGGAAAAAACAAGAGCTTCACAACCTTGGAAAAAAAAAAAATCAAAGAAGAAGAATAGTCGATCAAGACGAAGAAGACAAAAGAAGACTCACCTAGTCCGAGAGGACTCAAAGAAAAGTCAAAGACGACTCACCTCACCTTTGCCTATCGTCAATTGCAACGGCAGCACCACAGCTTAGGTTGGGTACTCAATTGAATACCTTATTTTTTTTCTTCTTTGTATATATAGGGTAATTACACTTTTAACCCCTGTAATTTGACCCGAATTAAACTTTGGTCCCAATAATTTCAAATTTAACACTTTGGTCTCTACATTTTAAATCTAATTTCAATTTGGTCCTTCCGTTCAAGTTGGAGGCTAAAGTTAACATTTTTGGGGCACGAGTCAGTCTCCTAAGGTGCACACGTAGACCAAACTGAAACTACATTTAAGGTGTAGGGATCAAACTGTTCAATTTGAAACTATAAGGATCGAAATGAAATTTGAGTCAAACTATAGAAGTGAAAAGCGCAATTAATCCACTCTTCATAATTTAAATACCAAATTCATAAAAGTCTGAATACCCATCTCACAAAAATTGAATAGCCAACTCACTCCAAACATTGCACACCCATCTTATAACCCGCTTACAACATCTTTAATTCTAAATGCAATACCTTTATTAGAAACTCTACTCAGAAAATACTCCATAAAATGAAATTTAAGGTATATGTTTAACGTTGATGTGATGTGAGCAATACCCCAAACGCATCTAATCCATACATTTTATTTTATGAGTATTAAAACAAAACTATTTTTATGCAAAAATAAAATACTCAAAATCTCTCGATAAATATAGCTTATACTGAATCAGGGCAAAAAATTTGAAAAAACTGATTTCAAGCTCCATTAATACTAAGTATGACCCGTATGATTCATCTAGAACAATTGTAGAATTTCATGTATTTATTATTATTATTATTTTGCTACAATCATATAAGTAATATATTAAAAGTTTTCTTTGTTGGTTATTTAAGAAGTTTAAATTAATAGATTTATTGGAAGTGGATGATTGATATTGACAAATGTAATTTTCTATGTACATAAATTCTAAACAAGTTTTTGAATGAATACCCTAAGCAATATTTCTGGAGCTGCCATTGGTCGATTGTATGTATTAGGGTTTCAGAAACAATTTATAACTACAAAGTTATTATGGTGTGGTAACTGTAGGGGAGATTTAATACAAAAGTCAAAAAATAAAGGGCCCAAATTAAAAGATTAAAAAAAAATTACATTGGAAAACAAGGTGCTCACCTTACACCTTAGCATGAAAGTCTCGTTTTTTCTGCCTAAGCAAGGAAAAAAACTTGAATACAACAATATGTCATTAGTATCACCATCCAATCATTTCTTGTCTTTTACCCTCTATATATATGTGGCACCTGAAAATTAGGATTTACCTCCCACATCATATGGTCTTATTGTGTGTTGGTGATACCACATCAACGGTATCACCGTTACACTGAATTTTTACTCCTAAGCAAGGCTTCTCCATATCACCTCGCATAGTGTGCTTTTCACAACACTAATTTTTATTATTAAGGAATGTACTTGAAATTAAATGGAATTTATTATATACTATGACACACAGACACATTTCCGGAGGTCGCGTACAGGTGTCCAACACGTGTCAGACACAGACACACGCCGAACAAGTGTTAGACACGCTGGAAAGAGTTGGACACGCTTGAACACGCTGAGTACTAAAAAAAAAAAATTTAATTTTTTTTACTAAAATAGTGTTAAAACCTATCACCTACTTCACCCACTTAAACCTACTCCACTAAACCTAACCCACTACACCACTACCACTTCACCTACTCCACTTCACCTACTCCACCTACTCCATCCACTTCATCTACATCTCCTATATAAGGAGCCCCTCATATTTGTAATTTATATATACATCAATCAATAATACATAATTCATTCTCTCTATTTCTCTATACATCAATTTCAACAAATAGCATACCTAAGGTTGACAAATTTGATAAAATTAAATATTTGACATAAAATACATATTAAATATTTAAAAATATATGTTTTGAACGTGTCCTCAGCGTGTCGTGCCCTGCATTTTTTGAAAATTTACACGTCCGCTTACACGTCCGCATGTCCGTGTCCGTGTCCGTGCTTCTTAGATTGTATGTCTCTCATCCATGTGAGATGGCATAAATTTCCTTTACTATCAGATATGAACTTCTTCTTTAAACATCTTAATAATAATAATAATAATAATAATAATAATAATAAAGGATCCAATTGTGTGTTTTCCCTACCTCATTAAAAGTTAGACTAGTTTTTTTGAGTGTGTGGTGGCTTTGACCCTTGCCAATGCCAGTTTGGGAATTATACCAATTGTTGGACATAAATTTATTTCCCCTTGTATGTTTTTTGGATAAATTGCACTTTCACCATTGTAGTTTGACTGAAATTTCACTTTGGCCCTTTGTTGTTTCAGTTTAAACAATTTGGTCCCAACATTTAAAGTTCAGTTTCAATGTGGTCTTTCCATTCAAATTGAATTTTAAAATTAACAATTTTATAAAACATGTCAACCTCCTGAGGTATACATGTAAAAAAAACAAATAAGGTTATTTGGACGGAATGACCAAATTAAAATTGAACTTAAATTGTAATGACCAAATTGTTCAAATTAAAATAATGACCAAAGTGAAATTTCAGTCAAATTATAGGGGGTGAAAAGTGCAATCTACCCTTCTTCTTTTTTATTTGAAAAAGGTCTAATTTTGGTATGGCAGTTGGACACCTATCTCATACCCATATTCTTATTATTATCCTTGTCATATCCGGCAAACGAGTGTACAATGTACACACATGTAAAACTATCTTGGTAAAATTTAGCAACTGACAACCACCTAGAATGGCAATACAAACTCTCATATGACCAAATGTATGATCTTCCCCATTTAACAAATTTAATGGGAAAAGTATACAAATAGTGAAATTTTTTATCACCAAAATCACTGATGTGAGAAAATGTTCGCACACAAAGGGAAAGTTTTTAAAAGCAAAGCATTTTTACCTCTCATGAAGCGGGGCGTAAAGTGGGGCATAAGCCTTAAGGCATTAAAACGTAAGCATTTCAAAAATTTTATTTTTATATTTAGTAAATAAATTAAATATTTCAAATAGTGAAAAAATAAATAAAAATTAGATATAAAGGTATAAATACATTTCTCCTTGATGCGCAAAACATTTCACTGAAGAAAGTTTGCCCTCATCGAAAGCGAAATTGACATTCTTTACCTTTAATGATTAAGCTTTTCACTTGAGCATTAACCCTGTGTTTTTCCTTGATTGATCATTTACTTAATTTTTTCAATAGAATATAATAGCAAAAAGGCTTTTTTATTGGGAGAAAAAAAAAAAAAAGTTTAACCCTTACAACAAAATAAATTCTGAATTTTTAATTATCAACCTAAACGCTAATATTTTGATTTATTTCCAATTTAAACCATCAGCCTATTTCCATTGAGTAAAACCAATAGGGAAAATGGTATTTTTGTCATTAAACTCAATGTTGACACATAAAATGTTTAAAATACACTTTTTCCATGAGTTTAATGATTAAAATACCATTTTTTTTTCGTCAGTTTTACTTGACAGATATAGGTAAATGTTTAAATTGAAAACAAATCAAAAGTTTAGTACTTAAATTGACAAAATTAAAAACTTATAATATATTTTATTACGGGAGTAAAACCATAGGGATTTTTTTTTAATATAATTTTTTCCTTTTTTATGTTTAAATTATCCGCTAGACCAAGTTTAACGACAGCCTATATATATTAGTACGCTTTCAGACTCTGATGCGCAAGCCATTTTGAGAGTATAACCTTAAAATTCAAATCTTTGATTCAACAAAACCTTTTAAAATTAAAACTTTGCACACACAGTGATTTTGGTGATCAAAAATTCTGTGTGTTCATAGCACAGTTGAATCAACAACAATGCTGCTCGATCACAAACAACATTTGAATTTCAGAGATCAAATCGCCCACGTAACAAAAAAAAACACACGAATCAAACCAGATATACACGAATTTCATAGAAATCAAGTGAAAAAACAACATATTCAAGCAAATTCATTGATACAATTCAAAACAAAGACGATGTAATTGAGAGAAATTGTTGTGCATACCAATCTTTCTGGGCCTTTGGGTGGTGGCAAGTAGACCTTGAAGAACCCAAGGTTGTTATTCATTTTTTTTTTTCTTCTTAATTTTAATCTCAAACCCAGGTCTCTCGCACAAACCCTAGCAAATGCAGAGAGATTTGAGGGAGTTAGAAACGGAGTAGTACATTGCATAGATATATATAGCATTGCACTTATATCACTCTCACATCCACCCAGGTTGATGACACGTGGAGTAATTTCCAGAGCACAGGTGGGTCACAGCTCGTCCAAAGTCCCACTTTCATTGGTAAGTGAATTATTACACTCTAAAAATTTTGTTCCAACTGGTTAACATATACATAAAATAAAATTTTTAAAAAAGAATCTGTATTATATCATCTATATGATACAATTTTTTTTATTTTTTTTTGAGTATGGTCCGTGTGTCACGACCCAAATCCGTCCCTATGAATTTAACGTCGTAACCGGCCAGTAATCCTTAGATTACCAAATGTCTCAGAACAAAATAACATATAATAGGAGTTATAGAAGCAAATATACAAATTTACATAATTCATAGAACTGTGCAAACATACATAAGATAGAAATCTTCAAAACAAACTTATATATATATAGGGGTGGGCAACGGTTTATCCGAACCGCTCAAACCGCTCAATCCGCCAAATCCACATATAAATGGGCGGTTTCGCAAAAGTCCATAGAGTTGTGCAGACATACATGGGACAGAAAATTTACAAAACAAACATATATATATATGTATACAGATGTGACGCCAAAAATACATTAGTCTTACGTCACCCAATTACACAGATAGAGTTGAGGGGAGCTTAGCCCAAGTACAGATATACAGAACAAACTCATACTAAATCCTTGGCGTGATCCTCTCAAAAGGAACCTCCTCAGGAGGCCCGGTAGTTAGCTGACAAAATAGAATTTTAGACCATCAACTCTAGGTCTGGTCACGTGCCTACTCACCTACATACATAATATAAATAGTGAATTAGACCCCAGTGAATAATAATATAGTAAAGGGGTTTAATAAATGTTGTCTAAGACAGTTACAGAAAACAAAATTTAGTAGTCATCAGAAATGGATTCATATCATGTTCAGAAATCATAGTTCATAACAGATACAGATTCAGAATCATATTAATAATCAAAATTTGCAGTTAATCATACGTGGTACAGTCATTAGCACTAGTAGAAACAGTTGACCCATAAAGAGACGGTCATAAAAGCAAACAGTTGACCCATAAAGGGACGGCCATAAAGGCATACAATTGACTCACGTGCATGGAGACGATACAGTTGGCTCATGAGACGTACAGTTGGCCCATAAATGGGACGTATATATAAGGATCCATAACAATTGGCTCATGAGACTTACAGTTGACCCATAATTGGGACATAACAGAACAGATAACAGATGTCATTTGAAGCTAATGATACCACAAATACATTTCAGAAACATTGGACAACCATTCACTAATGTAGAAAATAATATTTCAAAAAACAAATCTTCTTATATTATTCACAAAATACTTATAAATTGAACATAACTTTACAAAGTTATTACTCACATATAACCGGTGGCTCCAAATAGACGGATAAGGTGGGCAATTCACTTAACTTGAAACGCGTGACCTACATAACATGTCATATACATACATTGAAACGCACGCTCGCATTGTACATAACGTATTTCATTTGTTCTTAGTGTGTTTCTAGCCTTTATCCTCACTATGGTGTCTTAATCTTAGCCTAGGAATGCCTAGGATGAAATAATGATGCAAAAACATACTTAAAAATATTTTTCAAAACTTGCTGAAAATAGGGTCCACGCTCGAGCGTGGCTTTCCTCGCTCGAGCGGACATACAAGATGTGAGGGTTTGCTCGAGCCTAATTTCCTTCGCTCGGGCAGTTTGCAAACTTTGAAAAAGTACTGATCACGCTCGACGGACGCTCAATCCTCGCTCGAGCGTGACTTTTGTCGCTCGAGCGATCTGCAAAAACACATAAACTTCTGGGAGCATGCATTTCACGCTCGAGCGGACTTTTGGTCGCTCGAGCGGAGGTGTAAAAACAAAGATGGTCACTCAAGCGTATAATACTTTGCTTGAGCGGAGGGTACAAATTCTAGAATTTCCAAATTTGCTCCCAAAGTTCAAAACTCAATCTTAAAGCATCAAAACTCGATTTTTCTGGGCCAAAACTTGAAGAAACACTTAGGTGCCGTTTGGTAACACTTTTACATTTTCAGTTTTCTGTTTATATTTACAAAAATTTAAAAAACTCAAATAAAAACCTGTTTGGTAAAATTTTTGATTTATAAATCAGTAGTTTCAGTTTATAAATTTGGCCAAAAAATGAAAATACAAAAAATGTGTTTCCATTTTGAGTTTTCAGTTTTTTTTTATTTTTTATATCACCCAACATTAGCCCCCACCCGCCACCATTTTCCACCACCGTCCTCCACCACCACCACCCACCCTCCACCACCACTCACCACCCACCTGCTACCACCCGCCACCACCCACCACCTGCCACTCACTCGCCATCACCACCCACCCTTCGCCACCACCACCACCACCACCACCCACCTACCATCCACCCGCCACCACCCACCACCTGCCA